TTGTGGTGGCGGTGGGGCGGGCACCTCGGCTGGGCGCTCGGGGCACCGCGCCGATGCCGGGGCCTCGGGCTCCGGCAGGGACCGGTCGGCGGCGTTGCGAGAGCACTAACGAGCCGCGTGTGTCTTTCTCGGCAGCCGCCTCTTCGGGTTCGTGAGGTTTCATGAAGATGGCGCCAGGATGAAGGCCCTCCTGGGCAAGGTAAGGCTGCTGCGGGCCGGAGCGCGGACACGGTCCCTCGGGTCAGAGGCGCGCTCTCCCGGGGTCCCGCACCGGGGGCCACCACTCATTGTGGCCTCGGACGACAACCGAGGGGCTTGCGGACAACTATTGACTGCCCCCGCGCTCCCCGCACCCCCTGGCGCCTCGCTGCTCTCTTGAGAGATCACTTCTCTCGGAGCCAGAGCAACAGAGGCAGCAGCGCATTTTGGGCCGAGCTCATGTGCGGCGACCAAATTGCTTCCGATGTTAGTGCCCTGGGGAGCTAGGCCGTTGATCCCCGGGGTGCCTCTGCAGGGTCTGAGATCCCGAACGGGGCAGATTGCCTTGGCTTCCTCATTAGTTACCTTCTCGGGTTTTTCGGCTTCCTTTAGGCTGTTCGTGATGTCTGCTGATAACCGAATGTTTTGGGACGGCTTCTTGTCTCTGCCGCCTGCAGGGGGAAGTTGTCCGTAGTTTAGGTCGGTGAAGACTTTGCATTGGGTTGGTGACATGTATCTCGATTGCTTATGTGCTTTACCTGAAGTTAGGTGACTTGTTTACTTTTTGGGTCTCTCTGCTATAGATCTACCACAGTTATATGCGAGTGCGTTTTCTGGACCTTCGTTTCCAGTTTGTCTGCCAGGGGCTGTTGGCGAGGATTCGGGGTGTAGTCTCTGTTTATTTGTGTGGAAAGTTGTTGGTACTGTCATTTAGTTAAGTAATGGCTGCTTCTCTCGGCCCAAGATGGCGGGACAGGGTGGGAGGAGAAAGTGAAAGGAGTGGGGGGGGGGTTTGGGTAGGGAGGAGAGGTAAACATGGAAATAAATAGTATTGAAGTACAGGCCTCTCTCTTGGAGTGTGTAGCTCAGTGGTTGAAAATAAATTGTCATAGGTTATTTGCATGTAGATTTTTTGTACCCTTCTCTAGCTTGGAAACAGCATGCGTCAGCCTGGTAATGCCGATCAACCTGTAGCACATTTGGTTACCCATCGGAAGCAAGCTATTGAACAAAGGCTGGAGTCTGTTCTGTCGGCTGCGGTTTGTATTTCCTGACCGAAGTGTGCTTTGAATGGTATTGGGAGGCTTTCTTGTTCATTTGGACCCTGAAAGTTGTTGTGTGTATGCAAGCTGTTGCATTCGTTAGACATTTTTCTCTTTGGCTGTAGTGTAGGTTTGCGTTTGACACTTAGCTCTATTGTTGCGAGTGAGAAGTTTAAGAAAGAAGACTAAAGCCTAGCACCATTTTAAAAAGTTGATTATTTTAATCATTATTATTATTATTTTTTTTGCCTGTATTTTGGTTTAGCGACATTAGTTGCTTTTTATCTGGTTACAGGTATCTAAATATAAGAAGTTTTGAGTGTAGGCAGTGACCAGAAAACAGAACACACATAATCCTTTTCAGTAAGTCCAGTTTCTTTGAGCGGTAAGAGCATTTGAATTAAACTTCGACAATATGGGTATTAATTTGCTTCATTATAATTGTCGCTGGAAAAATGTACAGACTAGTTTTCAAATGGTATAAACATCAATAGTTGTTGATCTTTGGCTTTTAAGATTACCCCAACCTACTTGAAAGATTTTTATGTACAAAGACTAGATTTCCGTGAAGTTGTCATTCCAAAGTTAATTAAGTGTTCAGATTGAAGGCCCATTTTATTTTGGATTGAACATTGCTAGTCTACATTGCGTTAGGAAAGTTGCTAGCAGGAAGAATTCATTTTGAAAGTTTGATTAAATTTATTGCTTTTGGTTATGGTGATGAAGAAATAAGTGGAATCTGTTTTATGTACACATGTAAAGTACTAGTTCATAATTTCATATCTTAAATGCTTGTAATCAGAATCACAGCAGGTGGTGCCTAACATTGGATATTATATTGTAATAGTGAGTGAAACCTACAGTTAACATTTTAAAAATTGAGCATTTTCAAAATTTTCTAAATGTGCATTATTCATTTTTTGGTATTTGAATACAGTAACATTTTAAACATGAAAAATTTGTGAAGCTTCATTTTGTTTTGGGGAAGAATTATGACTTAATACGTGTCGGGTAGTTTGATAAACTGAGTAGTACATTGAGCTAAAAAAAAATCTTCATTGGTTTGGGCTAAGTGCTCCTTAGGGTCCTAGATACTTAGATCAGGACCCAACAGCCTTCATGCTAAAATATTCTATATTACTTATTTTGAACGCTTTCATGGATCTTAGTTGTGTCCTTATTAGCTAGAACATATTTATAAAATGTATAATATATATAAATTTATGCTTCATAAAATGTGACTTTTCTTCTGTTTGAATTGGATTCTGCGTAGAATGAGTGAACTAGAGTCCTTGGAAAGGAATATTGAGTTATTTAGTTTTATCCATCCTTTAAGTTTCCTGAGAATCTGTATTTTTGGATGTGAGGTTTGGGGAGTGGAATGTTGAATTATGTTGGTTTTAGAATTATTTCCTATGTAACTCTTTAAAAAAATGTTGACTTTTCTCTACTGTGTGTTTTGGGTGTGTTCAGGCAGTTTAACTGAACACATAATAAATTGAATAATTATCAGAATTCCTTTTTTAGCTATGAATTTTGTTGCATTATTCCCAGAAAAATTTTGTCTGTTCCAAAATGTATTTTACTAAATTTCTTGTGGAAATTTAGTCATTTCTACTTGTCTTGAGAAAAAAGTATTCCCCTTGTGTTTTTATTGCATCCTTAAAATTTTAAAGTGCACATTTATAAACAGAAGTCTAAAAAGTTTTGAAAAACTAAAACCATTGCATAAGTATTTTTTATTTGTTCGCAAATTTATTTATTACTTTTTCCTGTGTGAGGCTGCTATATTTCAGGTGATTTCTCCTGCATTCTTTTGTAAGATCCCATTATGCAAGAGTCATTGAAAGAAGTTTTCTTTGCAGGATTGTTTTTTATTTATAGTATGGTGTTTTGTATTTAAAAAATTTAATAAAGTATTTTTGTAGTAATACCTTAAATAAGGCTGTAAGGAACTAGAGCTTGCTTTAAAATTCTTGTAATATAGCATGATCTTTAAATTTTCTCTTTAATGCTGAACCTTAATTTTTGGATAACTTAATTATTCATTATTATTACTTATTCATGTCTGTGGGTGTTTTGCCTGCATGTATGTCTGTGTACCACTTGGGTGGTGACTGGTGAGGCCAGAAAGCTTCTGATCTCTTAGAACTGGCAGTTGTGAATCACTATGTGGGCCCTTGGAATTGAACCTGGATCCTCTATAAGAGCAGTCAGTGCTCTTAACCGCGTGTATGTGTTTGTGTGCCCATGAGAGACAAGGAGGGAGAGACAGGGAGAGAGAGCATTGCATGCAGGCTGGAGCAGGCACACTAGCAAGTACCAGTGAAAAGTCAGGACTCCTTGTTCTAGTCTTTCCTATGTCACTGGGATTGAACCCAGCTGGTCAGACTTGGCAGTAAGTGATTATTGACTGAGCCATATCCCAGGCCCTATAGTTGTTTATTTTAAACAATCTTATTGTTAAAGTTTGTCTTAAATATTCTGGTTGGATTTCTTTTTGATAGCTATTTTAATAGAAAGATTTTATAGAATACTTAGGAATTATAAATTGTTCATCATTTGAAAAATTAAAAATGTATTCTTAAAGTGATATTAAAATACTTGATATTTTTATTTTTGGGGGTGGGTAATGAATAAGTTTTAAGATCTACTGAAGCATATATTTTCCTAAACCTGGTTTTGCATATGTGAGGATTTATTATTAGGTAAGTTTTAGAGGTATCTTATTTTATAATATTGGATTATTGGTGATGTGTGAAAACAAATGTTTATGTACTTTATTTTTGTAAGGACTTAAAGAGAATATTCATTTTCAGTGCTAAAGAACTTTAGTGTTTTAGTTGGAAAAAGTAGTTATAGAAATAGTGTTTTAGTTGGAAAAAGTAGTTATAGAAATAGTATCGCGAGGGCTGGCAAGATGACTCATCAGGAAAAGGCACTTGTTGCCAAGCCTGAGGACTTAAGTTTGATCCTTTTGAACTACAATGAGGAGGGAGAGAGAACTGATTCATCCCCCCCACACACACAAAATAAATAAATATGCCTTGTGCTTGAAAATTAGATTTTTAATTTGATGGATTTTTAAACTTGTTTTCCAGTTTGGAAAATTATCTTCTAAACACTCATAGTCAAAATTGCTTGGACAAAGTTTTATGCAATTACTACATATTCGCTAAGATTTTTGCTGTGTTCCCTGAAACAAAATTATAGTAAGAGATTACAGAACATGTTCACATGTCTGTCACAGAATAGAGTTGCAGCAGTACATATGTAGACTCTTGTTTTGTTTCTTTGTTTATCTGAGACAGGTTCTTAACTCTAGCCCCAGGTGGCCACTAGGTAATAGTGTTCCTGCTTCAGCCTCCTTACTACTGGGATTTCTAAGAGTGAGCCATAAGAATTCTTGGCTCTAAACTGGTAATTTTAAATTTCTGATTTTTTTCATTGAATAGATTTTCTGTAGGCTCAGATACAAAAGACAACATTTGACTCCCTTTTGCATAATATAGGTTGTTAAAACTGCTTCATAGATAAATTTTTGTTATTTGAGTAACAGAAACATATTTACACTTAAGGTTTATTGCTTTTCAGGCTGCATTGTTTTTCTGATTTAGATCTTGTAACATTTAGTTTTGCATATATATTACCAATGTTCTGCATATTTGAAAGGGGTTTTTGTTCATTTTTGCTTTGAAACGCAGTGATGTTTTGATTTCTTTGAAATTGATGTTAATGACTGATAACACTACATTATTAGTATTTTTGAAATGTGGTATCCAGGGAGCTAATTTATTTATTTTTTATTTATTTATTTTTTTAAAAAACACCAAAAAAACCCTACCTACCACTTGTCCAAGAATTGAAATGATGGTTGGTCTATTTAGGGCTTTCATGTAGTTATTTACAGACTAATTAATGGAGTTTACTTAATGACAGCATGATCAATAGTCATGTATTCATACTGAAACAACATATAATTGCATCTGCTTTCTATATTGGTTTATAAGTTATGACAGAAATATTTGAATGCACACCAAGTTCAAGTGCTCAGTCTAGGAAATATGAAGGTGATGTGGATATCATTATGTTAAACTTGAAACTCCTTGAGTGGGGTGGGATTAGTATAAGGCTTACTGGCCCATGAATAACAGCGGCAGAAAGCATAGTGTCCAGTACTCTGAACATTTGTAAGAAAGGTCGGTTTAACAGATTACAAAGCTCCTAAAAACTATGGGAATTTTTTCTTTGGAGATCCTTACTAATTCTCAATTTAGATAGTAACAAGTTGCTTTTTAATTTTGTTTACAAAAATAATCTAAAATTCAGATTTTGGCTTTTTCAGCTCTTCAAAGGATGATCTATGTGTTATGTACCTCATGATCTTTCTTTTTAATTCTAATATATACTTTCCTATGTGTTTTTTTTTAAAAAAGACTTATTACATATACAGTGTTCTGTCTGCATGTATACCTGCACGCCAGAAGAGGGCACCAGATTTCATTACAGATGATTGTGAGCCACCTTGTGGGTACTGGGAATGAACAGCCAGTGCTCTTAACTTCTGAGCCATCTCCAGCCCTCCCTGGGTTCTTCAGAGAGTTTGTCTGCCAGTTCAAAAGATAAAGATCTTTGACAGTTTTGGAAGGGTAATCACAAAATAGTTAAGTAATCACTATTATGGAGTGCAGAACACAGCTAGGGAGAAGGATTTTGAACTTTTTACTTTATAGAGTTCCTTTCTCTCATGTAATTTTTTTTTAGATTTTTATGTACAAGTATTTTCTCTGTATGTATGTATGTATGTATGTATGTATGTTTGTATGTGTACCATGTGTATTCCTGGTATCTTCAGAGGTCAGAAGAGGGCATTGGATCCCCTGCAAGAGTAGTAACATGTCCTTTTAACCACTGAACAAACTCTCCAGCCCTTCTCACTTTGAAAAAAATTTTAAAAAAGTTATTTTTTTAGGTTTAAATTTTTTATTTTACGTGTA